TCATCAGCACTATTGCTGGATGTTATTATTTATATTACATTTCAAGAGTCAAAAATGATTTCAACTTATAATATATTTATGTTTATAAATAATTATATATGGGCTATTTTTTTCATGGGCTAATAATAGATAAAATGTACTGTCATTCTATAAATATATATTTTTATACCTAAAACATAATTAATAACTTTAACTAATTAATATTACGCTTAGATATTAGCGTTATACAATAATTGGAAAAATAGGCAAATCGTTTTTGAAAGTTTTTATCATGCTGTGTGTATAGTTACATTCATCGCTAAATTATCGAACGAGATTTGTAACTATAATAAGGTATGTAGAAAATTTCACTAATTTATTTATTAATAATTATTTTTAATTATTATTTTAATGCAAATATTTATTATGCTTAGACATGGTACTTATATGAAGCCATCGAAAACCATTGGAATACTTTTACATGTGAGTTTGAGTTGAGTACTCTTAAGAACTATTCTGTTCTATCGCAAAAATTTGCAATACTTTATTCGAGTAAGTATTTGAACAAAAAATACATAAATTGCAATAGAGTTGCTGTCTCAAATGCTCCGAAACATTTTTTGATTGACCAATTAATAAAATTCTTTCTTTCAATTGGTAGTATTTATAGTGGCAACTCGCCCACACCCATAGAAGTACTGTACGTTAAAAGACATAAATATAAATTTAATATTGTAATAAAAACTTCTTTTTTAAATTTAAAAAAAGAATTTCTTTTCTTAGCACAATGAAATATTCATACAATTCTTGCAAAACAACATATTTTAATCTTTTTAACATATTTTTATATATGTTTACAAATGACTATATTATAATTTTGAATACATTGTGTAAATAAATAATAAATTTATAAATATGTAATATATGAATAACGCGTTTTTACTAAAACTACAGTTACAATATACTTCATGACAATTATATTTATTATGACTCCATTTAAACCGATATTACTCGATATTATATGGTCTCTTAACGAATCACGAACTTTTGCAATTGATATTGCATGGCCATTAGACATGGACAAGTATTTCATACCAATTTTTTGCTTCATCATGATTGGAATGTCGACAGCTATGATGATTTCGGTTAGTGTCGAAACTATATATGTTACTCGTACCATTCATGCTTGTAGTTTATTCTCGATCATTAGGTGAGTATGTATGTATGTAACTTTTCTTTTATTGAGAGTCACGAAAAATAAAGATTAAATTAATTTTTCTTATTTCGCAGTCAACAATTCGGGAAAATTTTAAAAATGGATGTCAACATAGAAGTTAGTGAACATATTGGACATGGATTTGACATGAACAGCTTGAGCGCATTTTATAAGTTGACAAACGAGCAAGTAATATACGAGAAATATGTTATATGTTTGAAGAAATATCAACTTATTTTAGAGTAAAGTATTAAAATATTAATCTTTTGTAACAGTCTGCAAAATATATTTGTAATGTAAATATTTTATATTTTTGTGATATATTAATTTATCATTATATATACATATATATATATATATATATATTCTACAGGTTTGTCGATGTACTAAATTCAATGTATCGAATATTGACATTAATGTTATTGTTATATGCTGTTGTAACTATCAGTCTGGTTGGAATTAAAGTAAGTATTACAAACTGTTTATATAACTTTTATTTTTTATATAGAGAAACAATATAGAAGAAAAATATAATTATTATTACTATGTTAATAAACAAAGTATTAACAAATATTAAGAATTTAACAAATTTATAATATATTACGTTTTATATTATATATTGTAGATCCTAGACATATTTGATCAATTTGAGGAGCTATTAAAGTATATCTTAGCAATTATTGCCTCATTAATGCAGCTCGCGATTGTATGTTATCCTAATCAAAAGATGTTGGATGAAAGTCAAAATGTATTCTACCAAATGTAAGAATCTTTTTATTTCGCTTGTGCCGTAATAATTAAGAAATCGAAAAGTATTTTATATTTTAAATAAAACAGTTGAAAGTATTTTGTAATTCATATATTAATAGATTGCTCATATTTTTATTTTAATAATGTATCTTCCCCAGCTTTCTATATGTTTTTATGCATGTTTTAATTTAAATAATGTATGATTTTTTCCTGTTTAAAAAGTTCTAAATAATTACCGTTGTTTTTATAAATCTATTGCATTTTTGAAAATAAAGTTTCGTTTTTCCTTATGGTAAAAATCTTAAATTTTTACTTTTTTATATTATGCATAAATTAGTTATAAACATATTAAAATATGTATATGTAGAGGAATAACAATTAAATATTATACAGTCTATGAACATAAAATATATACCGGATGTCTTAGATCATCCGTATACCCTTTTTTTTCGGAAATAAGTATTTTTTGAAAAATACATTTCATATAAAAGTTGTATGGTTTTAAGGTGTATGTAAGATGGCGTCATTTGTTTGATTTTGAATATCGGTTTGAAAGCCAAAGGACAAATTGATTTTTTCAAACAGTACACCTCATTTTTTATTGCATACTCTTGTAGCTTTTGAGAGCTTTCCAAAACACTATAATAAAATATTTTTTCATTAAGAATTTTTGAGTTATAGGAATTGAATATTTTGATCAAGTACAAAATATCTCATAAAACTCAGTTTTCGATTTTTTATGCAAAGAATAATGAAACTAATTGATTGATGTTATATTATAAAATCACGCAATTATTTTTTTTTAATTTTTTGTAACTACTTATTACAAATTTATTATTTTTTGTTTACTATTCGGAGTGTTAGATTAAAATGAGGGGTAAGAAGACTCATGTTAATCTAACACCTTGAAAATTGAAAGACAAAAAATAATGAATTTATAATAAGTTACACAATTTTTTTGTTGAGATATAATTATTGATGAAAATTTTATGTGAACGAATGCTTTCATTATCACAGATACGATGTGGAATGGTATACATTCTCACCGAGATTAAAAAAGCTGTTGATTATAACTCTTCAGAGGAGTTTTGTACCTTGCGGTTTAACAGTTGCTGGTAACTTATGTTCATTATCAATGGCGACTTTTGCTGCAGTAAGTACAAAAGTTTTGAACTTTTCTTATCAAGATAACAATTACGTATATGTATTATGTATTTGATTTAAGGTTATACGAATGGGCATGTCTTTCTTCACAACATTCTTATCACTCAAAAATTAGTTAATTCTGTATATTTTATAGAACTTTCTTAGTCCTAATAAAATCTATGCACAATTTTTAGCGATCATGTTACTTCAAGATTGCTTAGATTCTATTTAGCAAAAAGCAACCTAATATATAGTAAACAAAAAGAATACATATATACGTATGCACTGATAGTAAAGCTGCTGTAGAAGCTCTCACTACGACCACTACGAGCTCAATCGTAGTCTGGGACTGTATACTGGCAGTGAACAGACTGGGGAATTTTGTAAGGTCACCCTAATACATGGTTCACCCAGATACCAGGATATGCCTGGCAATGAAGTCATGGATGATCTGATGCAACTATAGAGACTCAAAGGGACCCGGTCGCCCAGTCGGTCGATGTACAATTTGTCGTAGGAAAAATACTTATTCGCAATAATTTGGAACGGGGGCATCTAAGCTCTTGGATATAGGTATAGTCGAGACCTGTCGCGGTCTGACGATCTCAGGCTACTTTTTTCGGAGACTTGACGGCCGCGGCGCCGGGGTACTTTTTCAGAAGCCTGGCGGTGCGACGAAAGTACTTTCTATAATTACGAATATTTAAAACTAATTTTTTATGTTTATACAAAAGCAAAAGAAGAAAAAGAAGCATTTAAATAGTAGATGCAAATGAGTGATAGATAAATGAGTATTTTGTTACACTACTGCTGTAATTATGGTGAGTAATCATTAAAAGTACTGATATAATATATATATCTATATAATACATATAATACAATAAAAAAAATTACTATTGGACTTAATTCACTCATTGAGATTTTTATATTTTTCGTTGCATTAAATAATTACAGTATTTTTCTTACAATACCATTGATTGGTATAACTTTAAGAGTCTGATTGAAATTCGAATGAGTTATTTTTCAAAAATAAATAGTTTCATCAAATACCAGTTGACAGTAACATAATTATTAGTTGTGTAGTGTTTGCTGGAATATATATGATAGTATTATTTTTATAAAAAAATTTCTGATGAAACAAATATTATGTGAATTTTGTGTAGAATATAATATTACAAATAAAAAATGATATTTTAATAAAAAATTGTATTATATTATTAAGTCAATTTTTTAAGAATATTTTTAATGTATTATAGACCTGCATTAGATCACTTGACAAAATCAGATTTACGTTTATATTATGGATGTTTATTGCAACTGATGATCCTGTGTTCATTCTCATAAAAAATTAATAGACGAAAATCAGAATGCATTTCAACATCAAGCGTATATAATAATAATTCTATATTTTTAAATATATTTACATACGCATTCATAAATTCGTGCTTCAATATAACTAATAAATTAAGGATTTCTATAAATTGGGCTTTAATTGTGCATATGTTAATATTCTTCTGTTTCCCTCCCTATAAGTAAAAAAAATTTTGAAGTAAAATTCTTTTCAAATATTTTGCAGAATACTCAGATCAATAAAGTCTTTTTGTTACTTATTGTAAATTATTTCCGTTATCAATATTGATTTATGTCACGATAAATAAGTACGAGATTTCGTTAATTATTATATATACAGTTTATGAAAAATAATTTGTTCGTTGTGTTGGATTTAAAGTTGTATGAACAGGTATGTCTTATTTTATGACATTTATGTCGTTTAAAGATAAATTATTCGAATTTTCAGTCGAAGATAACTTTAGGTCAATTTTAGAAGCGTTATTCTTTGAAGATAATTTTATACATATTCATATGTATTTCGCATAAATATATTTATCTAAAAATTTACGAGACGTACCTGATTTCCTGGTATCACACCACCCCAAAATGCAACATCGACAAATGTTTTCGAATACGCTTCTCTTGCTTTAACTTTGAGATTATCCAAAGTTGTAGTAGGTGGAATAGAATTTCTATAACACGAGATAGATATGGTATATGAGATAGCTATAGAAAATATTTTCATCGTTCAGACAATCATTATAAGAGAATATAAATTGTTACAAAGGCATATCCGCAATTGTAGTAACACCGCCAGCGGCGGCCGCTCGTGTAGCGGTTTGAAATCCTTCCCATTCAGTTCTTCCAGGCTCATTTACGTGCACGTGAGAATCTACTATTCCAGACATTAGCACTAATGAGCCGCAATCATTAAACACAATGCCGGGATATTTCTGAAATGCACGTCGATTCGCATTTCGTCCCCTGTCTCAAGTACAATATTTTTTACGAAGCTTACCTGTGATAAATATCGTACAACATCTTCGCTAGTGTCGTACAATATTTCTTGTATTTTTTCATCTATTACGACCAATGTAGCCGGTTGAACGCTATTTAAGAAGACTGTTCTTTGAGATACAAAAGCACAAATTCGGGAATCTTCTTGAAATCGCATGTTTGAACGTGCACTGTCAAATACCATTAAGTAGTAACTGTGAGTGCAATGCGAAATTCGTATCTATAAATACATACTTGTAGTGCAGTGCCGCCGCTACATACAAGGCGCCTTTGCGCAAAGAGAATTTTACCGCTCCTTTAATAATTACATTTATTAATCCTCTCTCTCTTTTAAATAAGATATTTTTTTAACAATAAGAATAGAAAAATCTAATCAAAGAGCTTTAAATAATAAAAATTTACGATTAATAAAGATAATACAGGATATATATAAAGAGTCAAGATGTAGATCTTGATGTGTGCGTAAAGTTTAATTTATTTCGATCGTTGATCATATAAAAAATAATAAATGATGTCGAAATATTTCGGGCTACGCTTGATTGAGCTTTCTTCAGAAATAAAAAAATTCTTACGCGAAAGGAAAAACTACCTCGTCTCGTGAAAAAATCATAGGACGTCGATTCTAGAGTAAGAGATATATTTTTTTAAATAACTATTTAAATATCTTTAGAGAAGATACAATTTTTAATCTTTCTAGGATATTTGTTATATTACTTTTTCTCTAGGACGAAAAAATAATGTAAAAAATGAGAATTTTTATCTTTATATTAAAGTTAATATAGCATTTTTTCATTTTTTTTGTTTTCTCTTTAAGGAAATTATTACATCGGTATCCTGATGCTACAATAGCTTGATATAGTTTATATATACTAAATAAATTTTAATAGTATATTAGGTAAAAAACAACTATACGATTTGATCTGGCTTCAGACTTTGTGATACAGTTTTTCTAAATTGGTGTATATACAGTGCACATTTCGAAAGAAATTAAATCTCATAGAAATGAACACACATAATTGGTATTCGAAATGAAAAATTAATTTTTTAAAACTTAATTTAACGCCCTATTGTTAATGTGCCTTTGTGCAGTGCACAATTTGCACACATGCTTGGGACGGCTCTGACTCTGAACATAATTTAAAATAGAGTACCTTATCACAAAAGTGGCAGAGTACATAGATATGCATAAAATATAATGCCTTATCAGGCAGCAGAGTACATAGAGATCTGTATAAAAATGTAATGTTATTGAAGTGACATTGTATTATAAGCACATAATGAACGTATTATAATATTATATAATAAATAAATATTAATATTGGTAAATATTAATATTGGCAAATATTAATAATAGATCATCATATCTTAAAAAAGGCGTGTAGACGTTTTTTTGAAGCATCTATTCGTTGAGGCAGTTAAAGTAATCCGAAAATGGTGAATTTTGGTAACAAGGAATTTTCGGGGACGCTCTTTTAAAAACATGGTAAAAATTATGATAATTAAAAAAGACTTATCCAATATGGCGGACGGAAAAGATGCGAAAATCTTAAAGGTTTTCTGATTTCGGCGAAATTTGGATTAAGGGGGCTTACGCGGACGCAGATTTCGAATCCGTGATCAAAGTTAGGAAAATCAAAATGGCTGATCCAAAATGGCGGACGGAAAGTGTTGCGAAATACATAAAAATTAAAAAATTTCGGCGAAATTAAGTAAATGGGGGTTACCGCGAACGCTGATTTTGATTCCGTGTTCCAAATTTTTAAATTCAATATGGCAGACGGAAATGTTGCGGAAATCAATAAGATTTTCCGAATATGACGTATTTAATAAAACGCAAAGAAATGTAATTATAATTTAAAGCTTAATCGACTATGCTTTGGTGTAAATTTTGTAAAAGAAAATTATATGGCCGTTCAAAAAAAAAGAATCGCGCGCGTAGCGCTCTGTGAAGTTGGCACCCCTAAATGCGAATATTGGTAATATCATTATTGCATTCGTTTGTCCACTGTTTGTCCACGTTTGTCCACCCGTTATTTTTTTTGGTCCACCCTGCAAAAAAAGGTTATACAAAAAAAAAATTGTAACATCCCCAAGTGATAATTTTTCATAATTATGTACGGGTATCGTTTGTCCACAACGCGCACGTGATTGTCCATCCATTATTTTCATTTGTCCACCCTATTTTTATTATATTTTTCGTAATAATGTAAAATAATCACTTGGAGGTGTTACAATTTTTTTTATGCATAACTTTTTTTTGGAGGGTGGACAAATGAAAATAACGGATGGACAAACGTGGACAAACAGTGGACAAACGAATGCAATAATGATTTTATCAATATTCGCATTTAAGGTGCCAACTTCACAAATCAGCTCTGTAAAGTTGGAATCTGTAAATGCGAATATTGGTAATATCATTATTACATTCGTTTGTCCACTGTTTGTCCACGTTTGTCCATCCGTTATTTTCATTGATCCACCCTCCAAAAAAAAGTTCTGCACAAAAAAAATTGTAACACCCCCAAGTGATTATTTTACACTATTACGAAAAATATAATAAAAATAGGGTGGACAAACGTGGACAAACAGTGGACAAACGAATGCAATAATAATTATATCAAAATTCGCATTTAGGGGTTCCGACATCCTAGAGCTGCTCTGTGAAGTTGGCACCCCTAAATGTGAATTTTGATAAAATCATTATTGCATTCGTTTGTCCATTGTTTGTCCACGTTTGTCCATCCGTTATTTTCATTTATCCAACCTCCAAAAAAAAGTTATACACAAAAAAAAATTATAGTACCCCCAAGTGATTATTTTACATTATTACGAAAAATATAATAAAAATAGGGTGAACAAACGAAGATAATGGGTGGACAAACGTGAACAAACAGTGGACAAACGAATGCAATAATAATTTTATCAAAATTCGCATTTAGGGGTTCCGACTTAACAGAGCTGCTCTGTGAAGTTGGGAATCCTAAATGTGAATTTTGATAAAATCATTATTGCATTCGTTTGTCCACGTTTGTCCACCCGTTATTTTCATTTGTCCACCCTCCAAAAAAAAGTTATACACAAAAAAAATTGTAACACCCCCAAGTGGTTATTTTACACTATTACCAAAAATATAATAAACATAGGGTGGACAAACGAAAATAATGGGTGGACAAACGTGGACAAACAGTGGACAAACCGATGTAATAATGATATTACCAATATTCGCATTTACAGATTCCAACTTTACAGAGCTGCTTTATGAAGTTGGCACCCTTAAATGCGAATATTGGTAAAATCATTATTGCATTCGTTTGTCCACTGTTTGTCTACATTTGTCTACCCGTTATTTTCATTTGTCCACTCTTCAAAAAAAAGTTATACACCAAAAAAGATTGTAACATCCCCCAAGTGATTATTTTTCGAGTTCGTATCGATTGCTTGAGAATTCATTTTACTAAATTAATGATTTTTTCGAAAAAATACGAATGAAAAATATAAAAAAAAACGAAGAACAACTGAATGAGATTAAAAAAAGACGAAAATCATCATGTTCATGACTATTTCAAGAAGCGGGGAAAAATAAAAAAATAAAAAAGATACGAAAATCAATAATTTAAAATGAAGACAGTTAATTAGAACTAACGGAAAAAAAGGAAAAAACAAATAATAATCTCATAAATTAGACAAATCCGGATAAAAATTTTAAGGATGTATAAATGCTTAAATTTTTTAAAAAATTAAGTAAAGAAAGAACCTACGTTGTAATTTTAGGGGGATTAACAAACCAGTTTGGTCTTTTCCAGATTTGTTTGTGTATCTCCAATAATTCTGAATCGCGCGCGTAGCGCGCGCAGGAAAAGGCTAGTAATTATAAAAATAACATGGTTTCTCTTCTCAAACTGCACGAGTATTTGAAACCAACTAAATTTGTATTTACTGATATTCAGCCTGAACTCGAAGGTACTGAGAAATAAAAAAATCGAGTGACCACTTTTTTTTAATATTCTTATATTCTCGACTATTTGTCGTGTTACGCGACATCGGCAGGTGTCACTCCGAAGAAGAGCACGAAATTATGGTCTACAAATAGCCTCTAGTTTTCGAGACACTAATAATGTGATCTACGCTGTGATGTTAAAATGACATCCTGTAATTTTATAATTCTACAATCGTTCCAACTCATGCCGAAATCGATCGATACAGCTTTATACTGCGCTCCCTCATTTCCCTTAGTTACAGCTATCAGACAAGTAGAAACGAATCATGCTAGCAAATATACTTCGAGAGTATAATGTCAATAGAATATTTTTGTCGTGCTTGGGTCTTTGGCCATTCCAACGTAAGCTCGCGAGATATTTGTTACAAATGTTCTGTTTTATACTTGAAATAAGTTACTTACCATTCGAGGTTATTATATTTTATTTTCTCAGTTCAATTAATTAAAATATCTGTTATATCAAAAGATATCACTTTTTTAATATTATATATATCTGACAAATTGTAAAATTAATTTATCGGTAGATATTAACATTGTACATACATAGATACAGTGGACAAATGATTTTTGAAAGTCTGTATCAAATGGTTGTAACAATGGCTTTTCTTGTAAAGTTTTTGAATCAGCTTTGGAATCGCGATAAGGTAAGTAATTAAAACTGTTTAAGATTTTTATTTAATTGTATTATCATAAATATTATAGATATTTATATATTGTAGATATTTTCACTTACTTCGAATTATACTTATTTAAATAAATTTCTTATACACATACGAGGTATCCAAAAGTTTCAAAATTTGTCTATAAATAAAAATACATTCTAACCTTATATCTTATGTGCCATCATCACTTTTAAAATATAATAATTTCTTAAGAAACTTAATTCGTAGGATCAGTAATTATAGGAATATGTTCTTAAGAGGATTTTTGAAAACAATGGTGGACCATAAAATCCAAAATTAGTATATTTTTATTTAAAAACAAATTCGGCTTACTTTGAAATATTACCTGGATCTTTGATATGTTTTTTACAAATAGTTTCGTCATTTGTATGAAATCATGGAAAATCATTGGAATATATTTACAAATGATTTGGAAGTTCGAATTTTGAAAAGTTACTCTCATATATCGCAGAAATTTACAATATCTTACTCGAGTAAGTAAGTTATATTAGAAGAAAAAGG